CCCTACTGACATTTGGGGTGATGATCCTTTGTGATGAGGGCTCTCCTCTGCATTGTAGGAGGCTTGGCAGCATCCCTGGCTCCCACCCTCCTCTCCAGCCCCAACTCATGACAACCAGAAATGTCTCCATACAGTTTCAAATTGTTCCCCAGGGAAGCAACATCACCCCTTCTTCCCTTTCTCTCCCTCTTGCTATTGTACCCTCACACCTCCTCATCCTGCAGCAGGGACTGAGAGCCTTCTTCTAGGGTTCAGAAGTCCCATAACTCTCTCTGATTGGACTTGCCTTAGGTCACATGCCCATTCCTGAGCCAATTGTTGTGGTGGTGGTGGGGATGCGACACAATGATTGGCCAGGCCTCATAAGTTCTACCCCCAAATCTAGTCATGGGGCTCCACCCAGACCACGTGTAGGAGGAGTGGGGAAAGGGTGGCACAGACACAAAAATCCAGGGTTCTAGAGAGGGAATGGGGGCCAGGGAGGAAGAGAGAAAACAGCCACGCAGCCCACTTCCCCCTCGGTGCTCGGTTCCCTATTTGTCTGTTGTTGAACAACAAGCAAGTTTGTCAAGTTCTGAACTGGGCTCGGTCCTGGAGGTCTCAGTGCGGGCAGAAAGACGTAGATGTGAACTTCTCATGGGGTTTATGACTCATTCGTGCAAAAACATTCTTCTGGGAAGCCACGCGGCTCAGTGGTTAGGGGCTGGGTTCACACCCGGTGCTTGCGTGCGCTGACTCTGTGGTTTGGGTCCTGGCTACTCAGAGTGGTGTGGACCTGCAGCATCCGCACAGCTGAGGAGCTGGTGAGAAGTGCAGACGCTCCACCCCAGGCTGCCAGCTCCGCATCTGCAGGTTAGCGAGCTACCCAGGCGGTTCTTCTGCCCATGGCGAGTTGGGAGGAACTGGGCTAGGGCAAGGTGCATCTATTTTCTCTACCTATCAAATAGGAACAACAAGCATCCCACTTATCTCTTAGGTTTGTGGGTAAAATTAAACAACAGCGTATTCACTTAAAACAGTAGTAAATGTGCAATACAATGTTCACGCTTAAATCCTGAGACGGTGGGCCTCAGATGTGAATAGCACAGGACGCTTCAAACGTTCCCATCAAAGAATCCTAGTAGATCGGGGCTTGGCAGACTTTTCCTGTAAAGGCCCAGAGAGTAAATATTTTAGCTTGTGGGCCATATGGTCTCCGTTGCAAACAGTCAACCTTGCAAAAGCAGCCATCTGGGCATAGCCGGGTTCCAATAAAACTTTATTTACAAAACAGATTTGGTTCGCGGGCTCCGGATCTGAGGTCTCGCACGAAGCAGTCTCCACAGCAGCAAGATGTCTCCGAAGACTCAGTCTTCATCTGGAAAACCTTGCCTGAATTTTGTAGCTTACTTCCTAGCATCGCTGGCCAATGTCAACTCTCTTTCTTCCCACCCAATCTTCACGGAAGATCGATGCTTCGGGTAGATGCTCCGTGTTTATTCTCTGTCTTTACATGCCCCCCTGGCCCACAACCACGAGAAGTTTTGCAGACACATGAGGGAGTGTGGGGGAACCGGCCCCCAAGGCCTGCTGGGAATGAGGCTCTCTCTCCTAGGAACAAAGGGAGAGGGAAGATGTGCTAATAGGAGTCCAGGTGCGGGGCCCGTAGACGTAATTGCTCCAATCACAAGCTGCTGTGACTTCACTGGGAAACGGAGAGGGAGGCAGGTGCCCATTTTACAGATGAGGAAACAGGTTCTGAAAGGTTAAGTGACTCAGTCACTGTCGCTGCCTGTCAGTGGCAGAGTTCAGCGCTCCATCCCCGTGAGTGCCCAGACTTGACCAGCCAACCCCCAGGCCCTTAGACACAGGAGGGATTCCAGCCACAATCAGCAGGGCCACGTAGCTGGCCCCCAGCTGCCCCCACACGTGTGAGCAGTAACTCCTGCCATGGGATGCCACGGAGGGTTTGAGGTTGGCTGTTACCAGCGTTATTCATTGTGCCAGCAGTAGCTGGTTCAGTGGGTGCGAGCCCTTTGTGAACATCTGGGAGCAATAATTCTCCTCTCAGGTTTCTGTCTGTCTGGGCTTGTTGCCAGCCTTGCTCAGGCGTGTCAGCACACCCACAGCCTACCCCCCTCCCCTCCGACAGGAACAGTGGAGGGCTCAGTGTGGAGGGGCGCCTTAAGATTTGGGGACTAATGGCAGAATAACATGGTTGCTCACAACACAGGCTCTGGAGTCAGACTACCTGGGTTCAAGCCCTGGCGCCCATCACTAGCGGTGTGATCTTGGGCAAGTTTCTAAACCTCTCTGAGCCTGTTTCCTCCTCTGTAAAGGGGATAATAATCAGGGCTGCCATGATTATTAGATGAGACAGTGTATGGGATGGTGCCTGGCACACAGATTCCCTGGGGCTCACTATGCGCCAGCCACGGCGACTGCATCAGCCATATGCACGATGGCATTCTAGTGGGTTGCTGGCATGGGTCAGTGCCTCAGTGCCCCCTTCCCCTCCCTTCCGACCACCGGTTTGTGACTTCTTGGGCAAAATGCACAAATCCTTGCTGTCACCGCAGCCAGATCCCAGGGAGTCCTGCCCTTCCTCCCGGCCTGACCCCCACCGCGGACTCTAGATTTCGCCAGAAGACAGGAGAGACGGTGTATTTATTTCCCATTGCTGCTTCAACAACTTACCATGACTGCAGTGGCTCAAAACGCAGACCTGTGTCCTCTCACGGTTCTGGAGGCCAGAGGGCCACAAGCAGTGTCACTGGGCGACACCAGGCTGGATCCTTCCGGAGGCCTAGCGGGGAACCCCTGTCCCCGCCTTTCCCAGCTTCTAGCTACAGGCCGCCTGCCTTGCTCGGCTTGTGACCTCTCCCACGTCCACGAAGCCATTAGGGAAACATCTTCGCATCTCCCGGACCCGGACCTCTGCTTCCGTTCTTAGCTCTCCTGACTCTAACCCGCCTGCCTCCCTCTTATAAGGGCCCTTGTGATTGCATCGGGCCCACCTGGAGAGTTCAGGCCACTCCCCGTCCCACGATCCTTAAATTAGTCACACCTGCGAATCCCTTTCGCCATCTCAGGTAACCCTCACCGGTTCTGGGACTGGGACGTGGACGTCTTCAGAGGCTGTTGGTCTGTCCACTCACATAGACACTGACTCTTGGACACCACAGTGGGTCCTGTTCCTGAACCTCAGATTTTTGTTCTCGTCGAGCAAACAGAACCGTGGCTTATGTTTCAACAGTTATTAGCTAATACGAGCAGGTGCGCTAATCCAACCACATTCCCAAAAGTTATGTAGATTTGGGACTGGGGCTGTTGTTTAACACTGCACAGGTGCCTCTTAAATAAGTCTGGCGTTATTACTGAATTCCTGAGCCCCCTCTCTTCTTTCTATCATCACCTTGGTCAGGGCCACAGTGATGTTAGCCTAATTGCAGCTGGCCTTCCTGTCTCCAAGTCACCCTCCATCCAGCTGTCAGATGAATACTCCAGTGTGTGCATTGGACCACAGTGGTCATCTCTCTATCTAAAACCCTCTACAGCTCCCTATTACCCTGCAAATACAGTCCCAACACCCTCTCCATGGCTCTCTTTGCTCATGCTCCTGTCACATCTCCTGCCCCTCCCTGCTAGGGCGACCAACCACTCCAGTGTGCCTGGGACGGCCCTGGTTTTAGCGTGGAAAGCCTCATGTCCTAGGAAAGCACCGGAACTGCCGGTCACCCCTCCTGCCCTGTGCCTCGGGCTCTGGCAGCACCGGCTGCCTGGAGCTGTCTCTCTTGCTGAATGAGCCGTCTTTCCTGGGAATGGCCTGGATATTGAGGCAGGAGAGGTCTGCCACGTCCCACCTCCCGGAGCCAAAATCCGTGGGAAAGCAGGGCAGCCCACGGACCAGTCACAGGGCAGCGCAGCCAGGGCTCGCCCAGGAGGAGCTGGGAGTTCAGAGCGGGGAGGGGGGCGGGCACCTCCCTTTCTGGATCAGCACATTCTCAGGAGTGCTGTGGTCAGGGGTCAGGGTCCCCACTTGGTCTTCCCCTCACTGGACACTGGGTCCCTCTCTTTCTTGGCCACACTTGTCCCCCAGTGGGCCTCAGGAGGGCTCTCCCTTCCCTGGGCCCCTGTGGCAGGTGCATTACTGGCTCTCTGTTCCTGTGACCTGGCCCAGCTCCTTCCTCTCTCGGGGCCTCAGTTTCCCGGCCTGTCTAATACAGTGAAAGTTTTCCAGCTCTGACTGCTGTGACCATGTGTGGCAACCATTGCTTTCTTCAAACCTGTACCCCTGAGGGCTGGGCTGTGCTCCCGCCTCTGCCTGCACCCTCCCCATGCCAGCCGCTCTGGGGTAGTTGTGCCTGAGCAGTGGGCACCCTCCTGGGGCCTGCCTGTCTGAGCCAGCGAGACTGTTCTTGGGGAGACCCCATCCTCCACCTACAGCTGACCCACCAGGCTCCTCTGGGGGGGTGGGGGTCAGGATCAGGAAGATGGCGATTTGATCAGGGCCACAGCTGTGAGAAGTTGGGGGCAAGTGTCTGGTGTGTCCCTAACTCATATCCCCTCAGGCACCAGGTGGCTTCCTGGGGTCCCCTCCACTAGCACCTCCAGGACCAGGAGCAATCTCCAAGGCCTGACCAGCCTGGCTGGGGGGCAGGGGGCTCTCTTTGCATTCTCAGTGTGGAAAGGGGCCACCCCTACAGGGCCCGGGAACTGCTGCGGAGACGGAGACGCAAATCAAGAGTGCAGGCGCTGGCTCAAGGGCAAACGAGGTTTATTGTGGTTGCGGGGATTTGTGGGGATTTGCGGCCGTGGCTCCCGAGGATGACTCACTGCTGCATTTTCTGCAAGAGCAGAGAAGAGGGTGAGTGTGTGCGCCTGCGCCCTGGTCCCCTGCTGCGGGGGGAGTAGGGACCCCGGGGACTTCACAAGCCAGCCTCGCCTCTGCCCAAGGGCTCTGTACCCCTCCCCCCAGGACTTCAGGCCGCAGTGCAAATGGGCCTCAGAACACATCTGCCCCCCCCCTCCGCCCCCCCCCCCCCGCGTGAAAGCTGCAGTCCGAGTGACCCTCTGCTCCCCTGTCCTCAAGGTCTATGTGGCCGGCCATGCTGCCCCCCCCATCTGCTGAGCCCCGCTCTCCTGGGGCCACGTTTCTCTTTGGGGGGACTGGGGTGGTGCCTGGGATCAGGACCTGAGTATTTGCTGAAGCAAAGGGAGAATGGCAATGACCGTGTCCTCCACTGCACCTGACTCGAGGCTGTGCACAGCACGCACTCAGTACTTCCTGATTGAGTGAGTGAGTGAGTGTATGAATGGTGCATATGGGAACAAGCACGCGAATGAATGATGGAATCAGCCAAGGAAGGAGTGAATGAATGACTGAGTTGGTAAGGAATGGGGGCGTGAGGGCGAGTGCGGGGCTGGCGCCTGCAGGAAGGAGGCCGGGAGGCAGGCACGCACCTGGTTGATCCAGTCGATGTAGGCGGACACGCGGGTGTAGACGGCGGGCTTCTTGTGGGTGTTGCAGCCCAGGCCGGAGCCGAAGCTCACGATGCCCCGCACCTCCCAGGCGCCGTTCTCGGCCTGGCAGTTCAGTGGGCCGCCGGAGTCCCCCTGCACAGACAGGCGGCATCAGCCCAGGCCTCCCCCAGGCAGGCTTGGGAAGCCAGGGCAAGCCGGGGTGGGGGTGTGGGCTCCTCGCAGCCTTGGCACCCCCTCTTTTGGCCTCAGGGTGTCCATGGTGAGGGGGGCAGAGAAGAGGTGGCTTGAGGCTATCTTGGCCTCACTCTAGGAGGCCCTGGGGTGTCAAATGAGCTCTTGATGTGCTGTGTGATGTTGGGATGATGCTAACCCTCTCTGTGCCTCAGTTTCCCTAGCTGTTCAGGTCACCATGTCCAGAGAGATGCCCAGAGGGATGAGGATGCTGGGAGCTATGGTGGAGAGCTGGGAACGTGAGGCAGGTGGGAGTAGGGAGAGGGGTCATTCCCTGATTGTCCTAGGTGCTGCCTGGGTCTGTGTCAGGCCCCCCGAGTCCCCTGTCTCCCAGGACGATGGAGCTGATGGCACGACGGAACGTGTATAGAGACTTCCATCAAGTTCCTCTCCACTTGTTAGACTCAGTTGGTCGTCACGGCAACCCCGTGAAGCGCTTACTCTATGTCCATATCCTCACTTGGCCACCTGGCTAGGGACAGGGTGCGGGGCCGGACACTCACGTTGCAGGCTGAGGTGACGCCGTCACCGCCGGCGCACACCATGGTGTCCTTCACCATGGCGCCCCACCAGTCGCTCTGGGTGCAGGTGGCGTGATCCACCACGGGCTGCAGACCCTGCTGCAGCTCCTCGGCGATGGGGCCATTGGCTGCGGAGAGAACAGTGGTGAGCGGGCACCCGTCCAGGCAGCCCAGGCCTTCAGGGTGAGTGCGGCTGGGACAGATCCCCAGGGGGGGTGTGGGACCCACACATAGGCCCTCAGCGGAGAGGAGAGGCTCTGAGCCAAGGTCTCAGGCTGTGTGGTTGGAGGCCCCTCTGAGGAGGGGGAAGGGAGAGCGGGCTGAAGGCAGGACCAATCACAGAAAGCCCTTGGAGGTGACTCTGGGGTTTCACTGTCACTCGTTTCCTTGTAAGATTCTGCCGTAATGTCGCACAATAAACGGTCTTTCTCACCCCAAGATTTTCCAAGTATTAATCTGCATTTTTCTCTAAGTCTTCCATAGTTTCATCTCTTTGCATTTATCCTTTTAATTTGGCTGGAACTTATAGGGCATATGGTACCATAAGATCTAACCCTCCCACCCCCCAAAAGGTTGTTGAGCTCATTGAATAGTCACTTATAGGGCACTTAGTATGTGCCAAGCCTTGTACAAGCACTTGACCAATTCTAACCCATTCAATCCTTGTGGGGCCCCTTCTTACATGGTAGTTAGAGTGTCTGCTACATCGTAGGTGCTTAATGAATAGTAGCTGTTGTTATTACAACGTTAAGAGACTCTGAAGAGGAGAAGTGATGGGCCAAGTGGGTAATGTGCTTGTTGGGAGAGCCACTTCCTCCAGGAAGGCTCCTGTGGTTTGCCAGGGGCGGTACTCACTCCAGAGGCGGCCCCAGCCGGTGACGTAGCAGGGATAGTCCCGAGACAGCATGGCGCCCTCCGCTGGCAGGCACGCCACCTGGATGGTGTCACTCAGCTCCACAGGTTCCGCCAGCTTGATGAGGGCGATGTCATTGCTGGAATTCAGAGCGGAGGACTGACTGAGCAGGAGGTCTTGGCTCCCCGGCCCAGGCTAAGAGGTCCAGCTGTGAGCTGAGAGTCAGGCCCAGGGTGCCTGGGGTCCTCCCTGAACATCCTGACTGCCAGCTTCTAATTGGCTGACAGAGATGTCAGAGGACAGATGATCTGCCTTCTAACATCGCCATCGCCCGCCCCTTTAGATGGAGATGACGCCTTTGGGACCAGCAGGTTAAGTGCCCACCAGCAATTAAGCAAAGGGAAGTAGGTGATTACAATGGTAGAAGAGGGACCCTTGTGGATGCAATTTTTTAAACGTGTTCATGTCACCAGGATGAGAGCTGGCAACCTTAGCAGACCTGATTTGATGTCTAGTTCTGACAGGTACGGGCTGTGTGACCTGGGACACATTCCTTAACCTCTCTGAGCTCCTTGTGCAGGGCTGTTGTGAGGATTAAATAAGAGATGGCACATAAAGTGCTTATGGCAAGGCGTAGGCACTCAGTTAAGACGAGTGCTAGCTCAGCCCTGGCTGAGGGGCTTCAGGCAAGACCTATGGGGGGCTTGGGGTGAAACCCTGCGTACCTCTGGGGCACCCTGGCCCGTGACGGAGATGGGAAGGGTGTCTGTCTCCACTTAGTATTTTGCCATTTTGCGTAAAGGAGTCATCTGCTGGCTGCGCAGGGTAAGGATGGGGCCCAGGGACAGGGTGGGGGCAGGCTCGGCAGCTCTGTCTTGGGATCCCCTCCTCCTTCTGCGCTGCCCCCCGGGGGCGTGAGATGTCAGGGGGGCACTCACCGCACCAGGAAGGAGTTCCACTTCTCGTGGACAAAGATGGTGTCCACATCCACGAACAGGGAGCCTGGCTCGTCGTCCACCGCCAGGTTGTTCTTCCCCAGGCCCACACGGTAGGTCTTGGATTTGCTAAACAGAGGAAGGGGACTGGGTCAGGGTGGCCTCCCGTCCCCGCTAGCTGGTGGGGTAGAGAGGGAACTCCCTCCAGCCGGTTTGGCTCAGTGGATAGAGCGTCGGCCCTCATGGGTTTGATCAAAAGGGCACGCGCCTCGGTTGCAGGCTTGATCCCCAGCCCTGGTCGGGAGGCAACCAATAAAGGTGTCTCTCTCACATCGACGTTTCTCTCTGTCTCTCCCCTCCCTTACACTCTCTAAAATCAGTGGAAAAATACACTCAGGTGGGGAGTAACAAAAAAATGTAAATAAAAATAAAATAAAACTAAAACAAATAAAAAAGGAGAGGGAACTCGGAGCTTCGGTGACTCAGCTCTGTGGCCACATGGCAATCATTTGGGGGGAGGGAGTGTCCATCCCCGTTGGCCCTTCCCAGGGGGCAGAGAAGGGCCCTGGCCAAGTCCACTCTGGCTCCTGGGTGCGTGGCCCCAGGCCTCAGTTTTCTCACCTGTAAAGTGGAGATAACAGTGGAACTCCCTTGCAGGTCTGCTGTGAGGATCGGTTGCTTCTTGCCTGCATCATCTCACCTGCGTTTCTCTCTGACTCCCCTCCTTCCCAACCCCTCCCTGCCCCCTGGCTACTGCTTCTGCAACCCCAGCTTCCTCATCATTCCTCAAACATACTAAGTTTGCACTGGCTTTGCACTGGCTGTTCCCTCCACCTGCAGCACCCTTCCCTCCCCCTCCTCCTCCTCTTCCTCCTCCTCCTCCTCCCAGACCATGAGTCCTCGCCTCACTTCCTTCAGGTCTTTGCCCGCATGTCCCCTTTGCAGAAAGGGCTTCCTGGCCGCCTCCTTTAAAATAGAACCCCTTATACTTTTATTCTCTTCCAGCCTTTTCTCTTTACTGACATTGGATATATTACACATTCGATTGTTTAATGGTCTGTTGCTCTGTCTTCTGCTAGACTATAAGCTCGTTGGGAGCACAGACTTCATCCTGACTGCTGTGTGCCCTGGCACATAGTAGGTGCGCAATAAATACTGCTGGATGGAGATATGAAAAGGCGGTTACTGGAGATAAGCAGCTTATTTAGCGCAGTGCCTGAGTGAGTAATAGGTGCTCAATAAATGCAGCTCCTCAGGCCCCCACCCCCGGCTCTGGGTGTCATCCCCGCTCACCTGATGCAGTGGGCAGCCGTGAGGACGAAGTTGCTGGAGATCAAGGTGCCACCGCATGTGTGCCTCCATGTGTTGTCCTTCAGGTACTGGAGGGAGATCTGGAGGAGGGGCCACGTGTCAGTTCACAGCCCCTCTCCTCCCACCTCCCACCTCTCACCTCCCACCTCCCACCTCCCACCCCTGCAACAGTACTCACCTGCCAGGGCCAGCTGTGGGGCACGGCATTGTCTCCTCCCACCACCCGGGTTGCTAGGTTGGGCTGGAAGGTGGGGACCCCGCAGCTGGAGGCTGGGGAGACAGGAGAGGAAGGACACAGGTGAGGGGCTGGCATCCCCGCTGGGGAAGGGGCAGGTGGAACTTTGGGGCTGGGCAGACAGGGATTCAGATTTTACTGGATGACTCTGGGGGAGCCATCTAGTTCTCGGGGCCTCAGCTTCCCTTTCTGTGAAATGGGAAGAATAGCACCACCTGGTGTGCTTGTCCTGAGAACAAATTAGACAATGCCTGCAAAGGGTTCGGTGACAGGCCTGCACAGAGGGACTAAAAGGGGGCTGGCATGTGTGCGAGTGCCCGGGACCACCAGGGTCCTTCATCCTTACCCTGCTGTTGGTTTTAGGCTATAGCGGTGGTCGGCAAACTCATTAGTCAACAGAGCCAAGTATCAACAGTACAACGATTGGAATTTCTTTTGAGAGCCAAATTTTTAAAACTTAATCTATATAGGTAGGTGCATTGTTATTAACTTAATTAGGGTACTCCTAAGGCTTAGGAAGAGCCACACTCAAGGGCCCAAAGAGCCGCATGTGGCTCGCGAGCCGCAGTTTGCCGACCACGGGGCTACAGGGTGCGTGTGTGTGTGTGTGTGTGTGTGTGTGTGTGTGTGAGCATTGAGTCCACACAGGCCCAGACTGTCATAGCTGGGAGCTGTGTGGAGTGGTCAAGAGCATGCGCTCCACAGGGAGACAGCCCCAGACTCAAATCCTGCTCTACCACCGAGCAGCCACGTGATCTGGGGCGAGATGTGGAGCCTCACTGAGCCTCAGTCTCATCTGTAAAGTGGACGTACGAACAGACCCTGCCTCCCAGGGTCAAGTTAGCTCCCGCACGTGAAGGGCTTAGCGTAGGCCTGGCACACGGTAAACATGCAGTAATTGGGAGCTGCTGTTATTATTACTGCCGTGGTTGTTAGCTGGAAGGACTCTTTTACAAATAATTTTTTAAAGATTTTTATAAAAAATTGATTTTGAGAGAGAGAGAAACATTGATGTGAGAGCAGAGAGCAAAACATTGATCAGCTTTGTCCTGCATGACCCTCACCGGGGATTGAGCCCGCAACCCCGGCATGTGCTCTGACCGGGAAGAGAACCAGCAGCTTTTAGGTGCAGGGGAGCCACACCAGCCAGGGCAGGACTCTTCATCAAGTGCTGTCATTTGCCAAAAGAGCCCGTGAGATTTAAAGAGGTGAGTGGCTTGTCTAGGTCCTGCTGAGAGTGAGGGACATACAAGCCACGTTTGTTGATTCTTAATTGGGCAGAAGGCCACCAACACGGGGAAGGAAAGAATCCCCAAGGGAGAGATGCCCCCGCTGGCAAAGGCAAGCCCCGGTGGTCGCTGGAGAGACCAGGGTGAGCGCGGGCCTGGGGCTCTCCGCATCTCAGCTCTATCCTCGCCCTGGGAGGTCAGATCATCAGCTCTGTTTTGCAGATATGGAAGCCAAGTTGCCAAGCGGGCAGTGGCTCATCTGACACACAGCAGCCAGCAGTATCTGAACTCTCATAGGACCCCAAAGCTCCTTTCCTGGACCCCCAACCCCCGCCTGAGAGCAGAGGGCCCCCTGCTCCGGTCCTGGTTCCTGGGAGGCCTGCCCGAGCTCACAGCCCGTGGGCTGCAGCTGGTCCCGACCCACAGCTTACCGTAGGCCAGGAGCGCGGCGAGGACGGTGAAGCCCAGCATGTTTGTGTGCTCAGGAGCGAGTGGCCGGTCCAGGCGGGAAGGGCGCATTTATAGGCAGCAGCGGGTGAGCCCACCCGTCCAGGCTGAGCCACCTCTTGGAAGGAAACCTGCTCCTACAAGGCCCTTTCCCTGACCTTGGCTGGTTACTGTTTAATTTGGGCAGGAGATAGGGCTGGCTCGAGGCACGATTTCCCCAAGTAACGGAGAGAGCAAATCCTGAGGTGTGCAGGTTTGGGGGGCCCCCACCACCTCTGCTGGGAGTGTGTCTCTCTCCCTAACTCATTCTTTTAGCTTTTATTTACTGAGCACCTACTAGTGCCAGGCATCGTACTC